GGGGGGGGGGTGGGGGGGGGGGGGGGGGGGGGGGGGGGGCTTAATAGAGGATTTACGGTATGTGTGGTCCAAGGAATATAGATTCTCTTGACCTGAAATTGGGTATAGATTTTTAGGTGCGAAATCAGGTGAGCCTAAAATTTGTGCTCCCTGGAAGCAAGGCCTGGAATTGGTTATGTATTTATTCATTTGTCTTTTGAAAGAAGCGGTTTAGGTCTCAGAAGGAAAAAGCACTTTGCCGAGTTTTCTAGAGGTACCCCACAGGGGGCGGAAATTTGCCCTGCTCACAATACTCTTTCTTCCTGCGGGTGCATTAATTCTTGAAGCCGTGGATAATTCTTTTACTGAACATGAAAGGAAATGCTTCTTAATTAGAGGTCGAAATCAAGTGAAAACAGTAATGGTGATAGAATCTGAAGTATTGACGTCTTAGAGATGAAATCTTTTAAGCTTCATTTACTTGTGTATTTCTTTTTAAATTTTATTGATTCTTTTTTAACCTATGAATAAAAGGCTCAGGTGTGAAAATTCAAATAAAGCTAGATCTTCGTTTGCCCCAGTTTTGTTGTTTATTACATCAGTTGTACAAAGTGTTATTCTTATACTGCTGATCTGCGGATTAATGAATGACTACTTTTCTGTCGTGTTCTTTGTTTCTCAATCGTAATTTAATGAAAATAAAAGGCTTCCTCCCCAAAGAATCAGGAGCTAGAGCTTTAAGAGCCAGAGGTTAAAGTCCCTTTATTTCTCAGGCCTATGAACATGCAATTATTTTTCTATCTTACCTTACAGTGAGGACCTCACCTTTCATTGGCCAAAATTCAATGTTACGTCCTCACCAATCAGCACGAATGGCGCCCAGTGCTTCACGGCATTGAATGTTTCCGACTCGCGCATCTTTTTCATGGCCTGATGAAGCGACTTACTTGCACTCTGCCCTGCTACTAAATGTTCGTAAAAGTGTCTCATAAATGCAAGAGTGGCTTCTTCGTCAATGTGCCACAGCGTCGCAATAACAGAACGCGCACCAGCTCCTAAAAAGGCACGTGCAATACCAACCACGCCTTCTACTTTGATCTTTCCTCGACCACTGTTGCAGCAGCTCAAGACAACAAGCTTGGCGTGCACTTTTGCATCCAACACATCTGCCATCGTCAAAAGAAAATCTTTCTCTTTAGGTCTTTTGGCAGTAGGAAAATTAGGAGACAAAATAATTTCTCCTGTTTCTGTACGGTAACATGCTGCTATGTGCACTAACGAAACTGAGTTGAGCCCACTTAAGACGCGATCTTTTGTAGCGTTCTTTCCGGTAAGAGGCTCGATGTTTAGAATCTGTCCAATCATTTTTACCTCTTCCTCAGAGCCTGGAAGCTGCGGAAACGTTCTGCAGCCTTTGATACGTACAGTTTCCACCCACGGGTTTCCAACAAGTACAGCCCCCGATGTACTATGGCGGCCCTCCGGACATTCTGCCAGCAGCCTTAAGGTTGTCAGTGATGGAGCCAATCTAATTCTAAGCGTTTCAGATAAGTACCTGGAATTTTGGTCCACAAGGGCAGTATAAGGAATTAGGAATGATGAACCGTCAGGAACAATAACGAGTTCATCACCTTCTATCGAGTGTGAAAATGGAGCGATAATCATGTCGTACAATACTTTTAAAGCACCACCCTGGTCTTCAATCTCTTTCCGGGAGAGAATCTTTTTCCACAGGCTTTTGTTCACACCAATCTGTTTGTAGGTTTGGTAAGTCATTGATGTCAAGTCATTACTGACTCCCTGTTGCACAAATTCATACCGCGTTCCCCCCTTTAACAGCATCCAGATATTCACTGACTTGGTATCATTCATTAGAAATAACGTGGGTGACGAAATACGGTTTGAAATGATCAGTTCCGTCTGCTGTTTCGACAGCGAACAGATTGATTTCCTGACGCCATATTGCGATTCTAATAGGTCCACGAGAGCTTCTGCTCGTCCCCTCTCAGCTGTTAAAAGCGCCTCGAGTGTCTTACGTTCAGTGCGTTGTTGTAATTGAAGTCTCACTAAACGACTAACGCAATCACGTTCATTCCGAAAGCTGATTTTCCACTCGTCGTTTCCTTCAAGGAGGACTCTCATTTCCTCTACCAGTTCAATACAGGATTTAAAACACTCCTCAGCTTTGGAGTAGTCGCCAAGGGACCAAAGAACATGGGCAAGGTTATCATATCCACGTTGTTCTGCATCTTTGTTTCCAGTTTCGTTTGCTATGCCTCTGGCTAGCTGATAAAATTCCATTGCTTTTTTGGAATTACCGAGATGCTCATAGACATTGCCGAGGTTTATATATGTAGGTCCTTCTCCATTTTTGTTCCCAGTGTCTTTTCTGATTCTTAGACTCAGCTCATAAAGCTCCAACGCCTCTTTAAAATCACCGAGAGACTGATTGACGTAGCCAAGGTTATTATATACAGCTGCTTCTTGATCTTTGTTTCCAGTATCTTTTGCGATTCTAAGAGCCAGCTGATAATACTCGTTTGCTTTTTCTAAATTATCGAGAGACTGATAGGCAATGCCAAGGTTGTTATATATATTTGCTTCTTGATCTTTGTTTCCAGTATCTTTTGCGATTCTAAGAGCCAGCTGATAAAACTCGATTGCTTTTTTGAGATCACTGAGAGACTGATAGGCACTGCCAAGGTTGTTATATATAGTTGCTTCTTGATCTTTGTTTCCAGTATCTTTTGCGATTCTTAGAGCCAGCTGATGAAACTCGATTGCTTTTTTGAAATCACTGAGAGACTGATAGGCACTGCCAAGGTTGTTATATATAATTGCTTCTTGATCTTTGTTTCCAGTATCTTTTGCGATTCTTAGAGCCAGCTGATAAAACTCGATTGCTTTTTTGAAATCACTTAGAGACTGATAGGCACTGCCAAGGTTGTTATATGTAGTTGCTTCTTGATCTTTGTTTCCAGTATCTTTTGCGATTCTTAGAGCCAGCTGATGAAACTCGATTGCTTTTTTGAATTCACTGAGAGACTGACAGGCACGGCCAAGATTGTTATATATAGTTCCTTCTTGATCTTTGTTTCCAGTATCTTTTGCGATTCTTAGAGCCAGCTGATGAAACTCGATTGCTTTTTTGAAATCACTGAGAGACCGATAGGCACGGCCAAGGTTGTTATATATAGTTCCTTGTTGATCTTTGTTTCCAGTATCTTTTGCGATTTTCAGAGCCAGCTGATAAAACTCGATTGCTTTTTTGAAATCACTGAGAGACTGATAGGCACTGCCAAGATTGTTATATGTGATTGCTTCTTGATCTTTGTTTCCAGTATCTTTTGCGATTCTTAGAGCCAGCTGATGAAACTCGATTGCTTTTTTGAAATCACTGAGAGACTGATAGGCACTGCCAAGGTTGTTATATATATTTGCTTCTCCATGTTTGTTTCCAGTATCTTTTGAAATTCTTAGAGCCACCTGATGAAACTCGATTGCTTTTTTGAAATCACTGAGAGACTGATAGGCACAGCCAAGTTTATTATAGCTAACTCCTTCTGCGTCTTTGTTCCGGATCTGTTTGGCTTCATTCAATGACATCTCGAAGTAATCCCGGGCCATTTTAAAATCACCGCGTTTTGAAGCTCTTATTCCAAGGTAACTACTGTAAAACCAATTCGTTTTGGAAGTTTTTTCGAGTTTTCCATGTTTGCCTTTGCTTCCTGGACATGCCTATAAAAAATGTAAAACAAACCCTCTCTTGAAGCACGTCATGTTATAGAAGATGTTTTTAATGTAAAGTTATACCCTTCGTGAGGAAGAAAATAGCCGGCAAGATTTTTTGTGGCAATACGAACAGTCACCTCTTTTCTTGCGGATTTAACCTTGATATTTCGGACGACCCCGCTAATACTGCTGCTGCCAAATCGCCAGCAATACAAAATCCCGCTGTTATTACTTGCATGCGTGAGGTTGTGGCTTTGAAAACAGATTAGCACACAATATAGCTCGGACAGCAAGTTTCTGAGTATCATAGTCTCTCCTGCTCTCTCAAGTATAGGGTTATTACTAATGAACTTTATTTCTTAAACGGATACTACAAGAGGTGATATTTGACCAGTCCGCCTTGACTTCCCCTTCATTTATTTTCTCGGCTATGAAAGTTATGGGACAGAGAATCAAGGGCGCTTTCCATTCAACCAAACCTTTCAAATATTTGGAAACAGAGGTAAATGGTACAGAAATTTCCAGGAAAAGTTTCCAGAAATGCCGGAAACTGTTGAATTTCCGAAATGGGAACCATTCAAACGAAAAATCTGTTTAGAAATCCCCGGAGCAAAAATGAATGAACAGAAAACTTCCGGGAAAAAAAATTGGGTATACCTCGCGAGGTTGTCCTCTTTTTTGGAAGTTTTGAAAAATGCTGTTCTATTTGCTACGGGAAAATGCCGAAAATTCCCGCAAGCTGACGTTTTGGTTGAATGGAAAGCACCTAAAGTTTCTTTAAGGAAATTATTTTTCGGACATTATGTCTTTTCTAGTAGTTATGAACTAATATTTATTTTAGTTGGGGAATGCTGTATATGTGGATAGAAAGTAGACATTAACTTCCATCAATATTAATTCAAACCCTTGAAATCTCATATATAACCTTTTCAAGCTCCATCATCACTGATCATCGGTTGAATCGAAACAGCTGAGTTCAATGCAAGAAAGACGAACCATGCAGCCATTCGACTGTATTTAACATTCGCCGAAAAGGAACGAATGGTGGTATCGATGGAATCTCTTCTATTAGACTCAACCATATGTTATCATCAGCAATAAGTATCAATATGTAATATGTATGTCACTTCGACAATTTAAAGGCAAAACGATTCAAAATGCCCTTTTATAGAAATAAAACAAAATACCTTGTTCTCCACGGCTCTCCTACTCGTCGCTTTATTCACGCAGTTCAACGCCAGTTTTCTTAGTTCAAGCAACGTTGTGTTTTCCGTGTCGATCTTTTCAAATTGTTAAGGTGTAAATAATATCTAAATTAAGTTGAAGTTAAGTATGCTTGCAGTAGGTGGAATATAATTAACTTATCTCATCTTCTTGTGATTCTAGTCCACTACGGGGTTGTATCAAATCATATACAACTAGGTGAAAACAACAAGATACACCTTCCCCTTTTTGGCTTGGAAAGCAAAAATGTTTTAAAAAGAACGTGTACCGTGTTAAATCGGAAGAGCGTTGCCCCTTGTGAGCAGCCTACTTAGAAGCAAAAAAAAGAAAACGGTCAAACCTGTATATAACGGCCCTGCATATAGCGGTCACCCTATATACTACGGCTACTGGACAACTCTCCGAAAGTTGATCTGTATAGAGCGGTCACCTCTCTAAAACAGATGCGGTCCGGCCCCCTTTAGACTCACAAAATGCACGATTGCATTATTTTTTACCTGTGTATAAAGGTCAACAAATAGGATTACGATCAAATCATGCAGCAAACTTTGCTGTGTGTCCTCCAAAGTACACGGAAAAATGAATTCTAGCAAAATCGTCAAATCAATTAACCTTTTCATGGCAATCGAATGAGGGAAACTATATCTACAAGCGTGGACGAACTCAACATCCAGTTTAGTTTACAGGAAACTTATATATAGCGGTCGCCCATATCTTAAGGGTGACAGCCGATACAGGTATGACTGTAATAAACGCAGCAAGCTCCCAGCAACATAGTTAAAGAGAGGATAATCCTCTCTTGTTAATATTGCTGTCACTGTTATTGCTACACAAACTTTTTAAAAACTCACTTTTATTAGAAATACCGTTTGTGTTTTGGGGGTCGTTTATGAACAAAACAAAGAAATACTAGGAAAATATCACGTACTTCTGTGTAATTCGCAAAGAAGAAGTTTAGATAAGCACCGCCCTCAAATAAGCACCGAACCGTTAGTCGATAAAAATGGTAACCAAATCGTAACGGAAGTGTGTATAACAAGGTTCCGAAAAAAAAATCATCTTTCAGCTATGGTGGAGTACTTAGAGTAAAAGGATACTGCTAATCCTTGGTCACACCACGTGATCGCCAGCTCAAACAGTTTTAACTTTGCAAACGCTTTCGTCCCTAAAGTCGTAAAATTAAAGTACGTTGAAAACGTTTTTTTAAGTCTTGTCCTCTTCCTTCCTATACCATTCAAAATAGCTCATTTGTCGGTGTTCTTATAGTGTATCAATATCTTTGTATGTCGGTCGCAGTGTTATGGACCAGGAAGCATATAATCCTTCTGGATGGACAAATAAGTTTTCTATAGACTCAGCTGTGCGTAACTTTCGCGTTTTCAGCTGTCATCATGATTTTGTTTCTTTCATCGTTTTCAATACGTAATTTCCGGACAATTTCAAACAATAAACCACTCTAAAATTAGGGTTAAAAAGGTACATTTGTACAGTTACACGGAAGCATCTATGATAGCTCATGCACGTCATACGTGCCTATGTTCAATAGGATGAAGAACTATGCCGTTGAACCGACTAATCGCAAGCAGCCTACGAGTACAAAATTGTAGTTGCCATTTTTGTGCTATCAAGAGCCCGTGAACAAACAAACATTTGATGATGACTTTGTTAAGCTCTGGACTCCAAATCTAAACTTCAATTTCTTCCATATTATTTAAACCTTTGAACTTTGAAGCCGTTTAAACTTTTGTAAGCAAAAGAATTGAATGAAGGCTACGGTGTTGTCACAAGAACGCAGTAATTAGAATGCTTACCAACATTATAAGTATAATTATGATAACCCAGTCTGTTTCTTAGATACTAATAAGTCAAAAAAATTCTTCTAAAATTACCTGTTATGATTGGTTTGATTGACAATGGTCGAATGTCCCTGGCGTTTTTTGCATCTACCAGTGAGTAAATGTAATTTCCTATGAATGTTGAAAATACAAACAAACCGCAAGGAGTCACTCACAACAAACGTAGCGAAGCAAATTCAAAGCAAATAAGGTCAGCGAAAGCTGGGAATTCCCTGATGGACCATTCCAAAGCAAGTCACAAACATTAAACATCCTTGTTAACCAATCAGAAAGTAGGCAATATTCAGGGGCACCCAACGTCAATTTTCGGAAAATATCTGTTCGAAAGACGATTTGAGATCTAGAATTTTCGGAACATTTGTTGTAAAATTTCTCGCTTGCCTGCCTCTCCTAGGATTTTCGAACATCTAAGAAATGGTATAATTGCCCATTTTTAACGGATTTTTACCCTAATAAGGTCACCTAGAATTTTCGGGAGCCTTTTTTCTGGCTGAAATTTTCGAAAAGGTAAGTTTTGATCCCTATAATTTTCGGTTCCCTAGACTTTCAGCTAGGAAATCCGAACAGATGAAACATTTTTAGAGGATAAAGATATGCCTATATCTACCGTTTAAATACTAAAATACGTTCAACTATGCTATGTTTAAGTGGTTTTGAACTATACTCTCGTTGGCTGCCCCTGAATATTTCCTTTTTTTCAAAATACAAGTAGCCTTACCTAAACGAAGGTTTGCATAAGCTCTGTTACTGTACAGTTTCGCCTTTAGGTCTTCGTCCTTGCAGTTTACTTCAATTCCCTCAGTATAAAAGTAAACGCCGTTGCTGAAATCTTCCTTTAAGTACGCTTCATTGCCTTTTGTTTTGTAGACTTCAGCTATTGCTAAAAATAAAGCAGGTTGTTTTATTATCCCATTAAATCGAAAAATAATTACTGTTTAACATCAAATATACTGAACAGGAGCTTTATAAGTGTTCCAAATTTGGTTCCTGGGTTTATTTTCAATGTCAGTACAGTACAGTATCCTCGACGCCAGAGCTTGAATCGTGAACTGATCCTTTCGACAGGAAGAGTGATAGAAAAAATAAAGAGAGAAAACAAAAATAAAATGGTGAATTATAATTGTGAGTAGGATAAAAGTACAACACGGGACTACCGTATCCAACTATTTTTTGTGTTTATTTCCGTCTTCATCTCTTTGCTACAAGTGGCGATTAAAAAACAAATGACAAAGATCATTTATTCCCCGGTTAGGCAAATGGTGTCACGTATTAACTCATAAATGGCGTTGACCATGACATTAGTTACAGATAGTGGCAAATTTTTCAGTTACTCACTTTCTGAAGTTAAAAATTCCGAAAAAGCTTGAAATGCATTAAATAAGTAAATCCAGGAGGAACACTACTAAGGCGTTATGCGGTACGCGTGCATCTTTCGGTTTGGCGGGAAAATAGGAATCATACTTGCCGGGAGCTAATGCAGTGCTGTATATAACGGTGAATCCAAAAGATAAAAGAATTCGCCGGCCACAAATTATAGATCGTTTTCACTGTCACGCAACAAAAAATTAAATTGGAAACCGTCCAGTGGAAGAAGCCAAGAAAATGACATGCTATAAAAGACTAATATAAAAACAATTTGTCCAAGTCTCAGGTCTTTGTGGCCCACAGTTTCTGAGTTATTTGCCGAAACGTTTCACGCACCTTTTTAGAGCTTTGAATGGGGACGCCATATTGGTGCACCGTTTTGGTGCACCAATATGGCCGCCGGAAATAAACAAAAACATCTGGAGTTCACTTTTCCTATAAAGCTCTTTCTTTTCACTCGAGAACTAGCATACGTACGCATAGACATATCTTCTAATACCTGAAGTGGTTATACTGCTGAAAATCAAGAGGAGAGACTTTTTTTCAACGAGACAGCATTCC